AAACGCTTACGTCACATCAAGTTTACACACCGACTAAAACTTGGAGACACCGTTGGCAAACGCATAGTAGCCACGGTAGAGCTCCTTCCCGGAGCTCACGATGGTTGACGCTGGCGCGACAAAGTCGTTGCCAGCCATCTCAATTGTGAGCGTCGGCTTGTTGAGGTAGCGCTGGCCCCAGTCCTCAAAGCAGCCGTACGAGAGGTACATTTCCCACTCGAACGTCGTCGTGTACGAAGACCCCATCGCTGTCGAGAGCGCGTCGCCGAGCGTCTGGTACTTGGTGTCGAGGCCGTTGCCGAGAGCCGCCTTCGTGTCGCCGTACGGCAACTGCACTTCGCCCGCGAACGAGTGCACATCGAGGTACCCCGCGAACGTCGCATTGCGCGCCGTGATGTAGTCGCGGATGCCCTGCGTCTCCTTCTCGCTAAAGTACGATGGGCCCGGGTACGTCTCGTCCGACGGCCGCGGCGGGCTCGGGTTTCGGATCGGTGTGTACCAGTTGCGGTTGAGGTCGACCTCGTTCGCGTTCTTGCGCTGCAGCCGCTTGGAGCTCCACGTGATGCGGTACCCGTCAATGTTGACGATGGGCACAAACACGAGGTCGTAGCTGTCGGCTGGCGTCGGTTTTTTGTTGGCGACGTCGTCCAAAATGGATGCGATTGTAAACACAGCGGACGAGCCCGCGACCCACTCGCGCGCGTGCAACATGCTCTGCGTGTACAGCGCCTTGGCGCGCGAGCCCGTCGAGATCTTGTACGCCCAGATCTTTTCGCCTACATACACATATAACTTGGTTGCAAGCAGAGCGTAGTCCGTACCCTTGAAGGACGTGGAGATTTGGAACTTGGTCAGAATCTGGCTGTTTTGACTCGCAAGCGTATCCAGAAACTGGAAAATCTGCGCGTCCGTGCGAAAGCACTTGTGGAAGCTGCTCGACGCGTACTTGCCGGGGGCGAGCGCCGCGACAAAGTCGCCGTTGGTCGTGTGGCACTTGCGGTTCGTGTCGGCGTCGGCGGAGATGGCGGCCACGGCGGTGGGGGTGCGGAACCGCCCGTCCTCGCTGCGGATGAGCGCGGCGTCCGTCGAGAGCGTCGCCAAGGCAAGCGCGAGCAAAGGCAGCGTGTACTTCATGGAGAATCGGAAAATACCGAGTTGAACGACGAGCGACCCGAGATGTGACCGGCGATCTGATACGGGACGTGGTCTCAGATTTGATGTTTGGGAGGTTATTTTATTGGGGATGCAGCGCTGACCGTACTCAGAGTCCCGTGCCAATGAAATCCCCAGCGTTTCTTTCGAGCGTTGTGACATCAATTGACATCTGATTCCCACCAACTCTGCAATTCGAGGAGAGCGGGTGGTTTCCACGCACTCGGCTGCTCGAGCAACGGGCCAAATGTGCTGCCGGTTTCGCGAAAAGCCTGATTTCACGCGGCGTCTGAATATCAAAGGGATGCAAAGTCAGAGGAGAACGTTGATTTGCGGCTCGATGTTGACGCTACTGCTAGGCGCAACTGCTCGCTGATGACCACCATTGCTGTCTTGAAGCAGCTGCACCATGGGCACCGCGCTCCTTTGCGTATCGGTCTAAGCTATATTGAATTGCAAGTTGCAGGCGCTCCATTTCGAATGTACATTGAGCAAGGGAGGTATCGCTGCTGGTCATCCCTGCAAGAGCAGGAAGCGGTGGTGATGCCGTTGTGCGTTGAGAAGCTCGCAACCTGCTGGCGTGCTGGACAATCACCATTCCCCAGTTTTGGATCCCACGT